TTATTCAGGCTGACATTTCAAACATTCTGCTCATCAACAGGGGGCCCTGAAACCACCATGGTGACATTTTAATGAGTGCGTAACAAAACCAAAGTCCTGGATTTGTGTAAACCTACTGGAGTAATTTACTTGCATGTCCAAAAGGATGACAATATTTATACACAATTTAGTGTCGCAGTAAAAGGACAGCTCAGAAACAAGTCTTCATAAATAAAGGGCAACGAAGCTATGTACTCTGGCATGCATATTTCAGTTTCCTTGGCCTGAAATTGTGCTCTCTCATAACCTCATGCGAAAGCTCCTTTGAGCCTGCATAGATTTCACAACTTCTTTTTGAAAACAACATACAGATGCAGCTAAGGTCAGGCTCTCAAATGAGGATTCCTGACCTCTGGGATTGGTGTTTTATCAAAAAAATAATTCTGGAAGTGTGGAAATGTGTGGAAAAATAATTCTGGAAGTGTGGAAATTTCCCCCTCCCCAAAGATTTCAGCGTACATTGGACATTTGCCAGGCTATTAAATCTTCATATGATGGCAGACTGGCTCCCTCATCTCTGCTATGTATATTTAAGCAGTGTGGTGCAGTGGGTAGAGTGCTGGACTTGGTTGGACTTCAGACTAGAGCAGTGGTTCCCAACCTTTTTTTGGCCATGCCCCACCTAAGCACCTCTAAAATCCTGGTGCCCCCCGACATATAATTATTATTATTCAAAAAGTTAACTCCTATTCACGTGGAGGAAGCCTAAAGCATGGGAGCCACATGTCATACGTTCCCTCACTGATAAATCATGAATTTCCCAAGGTATCTGAATTCCCGCAGATCACCAGTGCTCAGAGCAGGTAGTGGCCCAAAACACATCTCTGAAAAATGGCGACCGCTCCAACTGAGCAGCTACAGAGCAGTTGCATTCAGGTGGAAATTCCACAACTTTTGACTGAGCACTCCTGGAGCACTACTCCCCCTGAATGCACCCAGTGTATTTTCTGTTTAGATAACCTCTCCATTGTCACCAGCTGACCTCCATGTACAATCTGATTTTAATTTTAAAAATGTGTATGTCACAATATTTATATACAGTATATGAGGTTCCTAGAACCATAAGAAATGCAAAAAAATCACTGTTAATAACTCATTCTCGAATTGCCCCCTTTAAAAATCAAATTGCCCTCCTTTGGGGTGTGATCTCCACATTAGGAACCGTGGGACTAGAGAGACCAAGGTTCAAATCCCAACTCAGCCATGAAGCTTAATGTCACTATCCTAACCTAATTCTCAGGGTAGTTGTTATGGAGGGCCCAGCCCTGATTTCCAAACCCTGCCAAATGTAGTTCACACTTACAAGCTTGCAGCAAGAATCTGTGGTGCAATTCCAAGGTGCCCATGTCTGTTTCGATGTGTAACTGGGATTTGCCAGATACACATAAATATTTGAAATGTGAGGTGCTGGGCTCAACTCTTTCCTTTTTCCTTTCTCCTTCTGTGATGGAACTCCTATTTGGGGACTTCCCTGGCTCTTTTCTGGCCCACGTAGAACCAGTATGGATAGTTGGCCTTGGTGAAGATTTGACATTTTCATCCACAAAAAGTTTTTGATTTGAGTTTCTACTGAAATGAGGCTGCATTTTAATGTTGTATTTTAATCTTGTTTTTAAGTTGTATTTTAATCAATTGTTTTTATACTTGGTGTTAGCTGCCCTGAGCTTGGTCTTGGCTGAGGAGGGCGGGGTATAAATAAATTTTATTATTATTATTATTATTAATTCTGCTTGAAAGTGGGACACTTTGCCCTCAGAGGTGCCTCCTGTTATCCTGGCTTGTCTCAGTTGTGCAATGGTAAAGGTAAAGGTAAGGACCCCTGACCATTAAGTCCAGTCGCGAATGACTCTGGGGTTGCGGCGCTCATCTCACTTTACTGGCCGAGGGAACTGGTGTTTTATCCGCAGACAATTCTGGATCATGTGGCCAGCATGACTAAGCCACTTCTGGTGAATGAGAGCAGCGCATGGAAACACCCTTTACCTTCCCGCCAGAGCAGTACCTATTTATCTACTTGCACTTTGACATGCTTTCAAACTGCTAGGTTGGCAGGAGCTGGGACAGAGCAAAGGGAGCTCACTCAGTCATGGGGATTCGAACCTACAACCTTCTGATTGGCAAGCCCTAGGCACTTGGAAGATTCTGGAAGGCCCTTGCTTCCTCACTTGCATGTTACAGAGGCAACATGAGGCTGAGGGACAACGCTTTGAAAAACTTTTTGCTCATAGGCTCCCACGAAAACTGAAGCCAGCTTTGCACGACTGAGTTAATCTAGTCTTCAAACTTTTAAATTGGGGTAAAATGTAAAGATTAGGCAGAGTAAGAGCAGATGAATGAATAGCTAGTCTCAGGATTTATGCAGCAAAACACAACCACCACTGAAACTTCAGGGAGTACAAAGTTATTCTGTAAAAGGTATTTCCAGAAATCATTTTCCTTCCATCAACAAATCCACGAAATGTCTGACAACTGAGATGATTTGCATCAGTGCTTCCCCCCCTAAAAGAATGTTTAGGGGTGCTCTCATTTTCCTACTCATATTGAAATACTGCCCCTCAATGGGGCCCAACTTAGATTCCCAAAATGTTTAGGGGCATGTGTACCCCTGCATACCCCCAGAAAACAAGTACTGGTTTGCATTATCTGTAGTTTTTCTCTGCCCATCCTTACCCAAACCCTCCTCCCCTCCCCCAAATAATTACAAGTGATTCCATCTTCCAACAAGGAACCTTTTCTCCCCCCCACTTTCTCTCTCCTTCTGTATGTTTTTCTAAATATCTCATGGCCCTTATACCATGGTGCCCAACAGAGCCTCTCTAAACATTTCTTCCCCTGCATTGTACGAAGGAACAATTGTGTTCCAAATGAATTAGGGCAACGCTGCTTCAGGATTCCTGAGGTTGGACCGCATGCTGTTTCATTCAGCCGCCTTTGATAACAGGAATGTAGCCTCCGGGGCAACTTATTTGCTTCACTCATTGTGTCCTCCTCAATGGATATGAAAGAGCTGCGTTGAGCCTTGACTTCGTTTGCCACTTCAGAGCATCACATCTGACATTTATTTTATTTTTTTATTTGCCAGAGAACAGAAGGGGGAAGGGGAGGAAACTGTTCAAAAATTGCCGTTTCACAATTTTCATCGTGAAGAGACAAAGGATCAATTCTCTGTATGCCACACAGCTGCCACTGGAGTACGTTATGGGTGAGAAATTGCTCTGTTTATTCAGCCAAGAGACAACTTCTTTCCTGCCTCCAAACTATTGTTCTTTCCGCCAACCAAAGCAGTTAAGTAAACAAGAGCTCTGCCCCCCAAAAACCCCAACTCACACTGGTCATGCTCTCACTGGTATTTATGGCCCATGTGATAGCTTGTGAAGGACCTTTTGTGACACGCGTTTGATCTTTATTGCTCCCATCACAGCCTCGCAGATTGATAGGGCTTCCAAACTTGTGCACTGAGCTACAAGGTTCAAAGCTGTCTCTCTGGATAGGGCAGAATCTAGTGAAACTTACCCACAAGTAAGTCTTGGTTTGCAAATGTGTCGTCATTGCTGGACAGCTTCAGCATTATGTGGTGGCTTCCTGGGCCAAGGGCCATAGCAGAAATACAACACAGCAAAAAGAATGAATATCAACTCAGACCCAATGCTTTTCAGTCAAATCAGATCGTAGAATCCTAGAGTTGGCTTCTTGGAAGACAAAAAGCAGACAAAAACTTCAAGAAAGAATGGAAAAAAATTATAATTTATCTAAGAGACCACTGTAAGCAGCTGAAAATATTAGCAGGATTCTAATAACACTTGGAATATAACAAATACTATGGACAAGATGGACAGATATAAAATATGGATGATGAAATAATATGCAGTTGAAAACATTGACAGGAGAGTGGGAAGTCTGGAGAATCAGAGAAATTGGGTCCTCCCTTAAAGAGGGCATGTGTTGTGGTGAGACCTGGACAACCGACACTCTGTGTTGTGGGTAGGTTCGATTGAATAGCCACAACACCCAGTTGGTAGGTCCTGTGATGCTGGGTTTAATCAGGCCAATGAGACGCAAACTAAACGGATCATGCACATGACCTAGAGCTTCCTCTTTCACCGCGTGCATTTGGAACACCCGCCCACCTCTCCCTACTTTTAGGGCTTTGCGCTTGACCTTGCTATGCCGTAGTGTGTTGTCTGTCGTTGGGACAGGGACACGGCAGGAATTTTCCCCACTTGGCTGATTGGCTGGTGCCATTTGGGTTGTGCCTGCTGCATAGCAAATCGTCACAACTTGTAAGGTTGCGGATAGGCTCTGGTTCAGGTGATAGGGATGGGAGAACGCTCTCACCATCCCTATGTGAAGGGTATTCCGTTAAGGGAATCCAGGGACTCAATGGTTTGGTCAACCCCTGAGAGAGGGTTGTGCTTGTGCCTGAGTCCAGAGGGGCATTTGGGTGGCGGAGATAGCCTGTTCCCGGCTTTCTGTTTATCCAGGTGTTCACCCTTGGCTGACCTATGATAGAGCTCTGGGTCAGCGCTACTTGCAATGGTGCAGGGAGCTAGTCGAACCAGAGCCTATGCAACCACTCACTTTCTGTAATCAATAAAGTTGTGGCCTAAATTCTGTCAAAAATCAAACCAAAAATTTGAGTCTTGTCTGAATTTATTTAAGGGGGAGGTTTAAAGGTCTGAACATGCAAATCTCTAAACATGGATATGTAATTGATATTGTTATAATTCTTCACTTGTAAAATCAAATAATTTATTTTTTATTTAAAAAAGAATAATAGGGATGACCTTAGGGTCATCTAGTACAAACCACCACGATGCAAGAATCTTAACTAAAGCATCCATGACAGATAACTACCCAACTTGTGCTTTAAAATCCCCGAGGAAGGAGATTCCACCAGCTTCTGTTAGCACCAGACTGTTATTCTGTTATTACCAGACTGGACTGGTAATAACAGAATAACAGTCTGGTGCTAACAGAAAGCACTGTTATTACCAGTGCTTTCCTTTTGGATAAAGACAGTGGCAAGGTAGGTGTTGAGCCTTTTTTTCTGTCACCCAGTAGCTTTTCTCCATCTTCTCCACCCAGAGTGCTTACTACTTGGAACGCATCATCCAAGTCTTCAGTCTGGCTAGGAGGTCTATTTCCCAGTTTTCACTCTTTCCTCTCCTTTCTTTCCAGAGATGCCTCTTTTGGAATTGTTTTTGGAAGCCTCGATTTAGAAGGAAGTCCTTGTGTGAATTATTACCATTGCCAATATTAATTTCTTTCTTTCCCTGGAGCATTCTTGGCTGGCCACCATCCTGAAAGACCATCAGGAATTCTCATGTTATAATTTGATCTCTTTTAAAACATTAAAAACAGAAACAAAACCCCAAGTCTACTCCTCTGAGATTTTTTACTGCTAATACAACAGCAGGCTACTTGGTCTCAAATGTCAGATCTCCGAAGTCCAGTTGCAAAGGGTTCAGCCAAGATTAGCTTGGACCATCACAGCATTTATTAGAAAGCCAGAAATTGGTGCCATAATTTATCTTCCCATGACAAGAAAAGTTGGAGGATCCAGCTATTAAATATTCAGGCTCCGGCGTAAAGTCTTTCAAAGTCAACTGAGATATTCCTGCCTATTAGCATCTATAATGGTTTGCATGTCACCGTAAACTATAGTTAATGCCTGAACAAGCAGTGTGCTGGTGCATATTACTCAAAGGTGGTTGCTTTGCCTCCCTCCAGCTTCTGGCTGGACCAGGAGCAACAAACCATAAAGCTAGACTTCGCATGTCACTCAAAACTGGGTTTAAACAAACCATAACTGGTAGCCAAGGTAAACTATGGTTGGCTAACATTAATGTGACTAGGTTTGAACATGACACACAAACCAGGTCATTGTACAGTGGTACCTTGGGTTACGGACACGTCAGGTTACAGACTCTGCTAACCCAGAAATAGTACCTCGGGTTAAGAACTTTGCTTCAGGATGAGAACAGAAATCGTGCTCCGGCGGCGCGGCAGCAGCGGGAGGCCCCATTAGCTAAAGTGGTACCTCAGGTTAAGAACAGTTTTAGGTTAAGAACGGACCTCCAGAACAAATTAAGTTCTTAACCCAAGGTACCACTGTAAATGCACCCACAAGTTTAATTGTTGCTTTTTCTCTAATAGTGTTTTATTTTATTTTTTTTATTTATTTTATTTTTTTTATTATTTTTTTTATTTTTATCCTGCCTTTCCCCCAGAAATGGGAGTAAAGGCAGCTCACAAAATTTAAAACAAATATAGATATCGCTAAAAGCACATAAGCGGTTATCAAACCCTCCAACATTTCTCTGTTGAAAATAGGGACGTCCCATTCCATAATGATAATTCTACTACTTCTACCCCACGCATACTACTGGTTTGCCCCAGCCATACTGGGCAGCTTCCAACATACATAAAAATGTAATAAAACATTTTTTAAAAAACCTTTTGTATACCAGATTGCCTTCAGGCAGCTCGGGGGTTGGATAACTCCATACCCTCCAACATTTCTCCCATGAAAATAGGGACATCTAAGGAAAAGTGGGAAATTCCAGGATCAGATCAGAAACTGGGATGACTTCTCTAAATTGGGGATGTCCCTGGAAAATCAAGGATGTCCCTTTCATAGATACCAACCCATTGTTTTTCTTTCTTAAAATAATACAAATTAAATGGGCTTAAAATAATAATAATAATAATAATAATAATAATAATAATGATGATGATGATGCAACTCTTCTTCATCTTCTTTTTTAAAAAAGGTTATCTGTAGTGGGCTGTGGAAATTTCCTTTCCTTTGATAGCAGATTATTGTGAGCTTATTCCTCAGATAAAAGGCACTGGAGAGAGACAGCCTCTCTGCTAATGAAGTGTTAGCACAATATCACTCCCACTTACACGCCAGCCCCAAATCTATTTATTTAGCTTCAAAAATAGCTATGGAAATGATCCAAATACAACAACCTGCAGCTTTCCAAGAGTAAATTTTCCCTGCTTTAGATATATTGATCTGCTCTTGTATATCACCTATAAAGGGGAACAACGTCCGTATGCACTGATCACAATAAAATCCACTCTGTGAGATCTACCCACTCTGGAAGAATGGCAGATGAAGGTGATTGACTACATGGAATTGGCAGAAATGACTGGCAGAATCCGAGACCAGGGAGAAGAGTCGGTGAAAGAAGATTGGAAGATATTTAAAGATTATTTACAGAAATATTGTAAAATTAAGGAATCTTAGAAGGATGTTGGATAGAAACTAAGTGGTTTCCAGCTGTAATGCTTTAAGAGATATGAAAAAAGGTTTACAAATGGGTAAAGCTTAATGGTAAGGATTTGCTGAACTAACAAACTGAACTGGAATACAAAAAAGGGAGGTATGAGGAGTCCGGGGAAATAAGTGTAAGGAAGATATGCTATGGAAAGTTAACATGTTTTTAACTGTTTTTATCTTGTATGTTTTTCTTCATTTTTCTTTTTTTTGCTATATCTTAAAAACTTTATTCTTTTTTCTGTATTTTGTATTTTCTTGTATTTTTATTTTTTGTTTTTGTATTCTTTGAAACTTTAATAGATATCATTTAAAAAATAAAATAAAATCCACTCTGTGGAGGCATTTTTAAGAAACAGAAATCACAGTCTAGTGAAAGCCAGTAGGGAAACTCTTCTAGACTTTTACAGTAGAGGATCAAATTCATAAAAGTGAAGAGGAGCACAAAGAGCTCTTATTTCACTAGTAGCGCCCCTGCCTGCCCTGTGGTGTGAAAAACCTTTAATGGGGAAGGGAAACACAGTGGAACCTTTCTTTGTGCAAAAAGGAGAAGGAGAATTGTTTGTCTTCCTCTATCAAGCAACAGGAGCACTTTTAAAGGCCAGGCGGCTGCAGTCTGGCCTGTTTTTTACAACATTTCCATTTGACAAACTTCCAGCTTTGATGGCAATTACCCTTTTTTACTGTTCTTTCATACTGCCCAGTAAGAAACCTGTACTCTGCAAGAAAAAAAGAAGAAGCCGATATCACTTTTTTGGGGGGTGGGGTGGAATGTGACGCACTAAGTTCCCACAATGGATTTGAGAATTCTTCAGATGCTCTCAAAATAAGATGATCATGTGTCCTATTTTACACAGGACAATGGTATTGAAAGGTTGCTCAATCCAAGTTCAGTTTCAAGCTAAAGAACCACAAGAACAGAGAGCAGGGACCTTGAAGTTGCCCGACTGCAACACCTGGGCAGTAGACTGAGCAGGTAAAAAGGTAAAGGGACCCCTGACCATTAGGTCCAGTCGTGGCTGACTCTGGGGTTGCAGCACTCACTCACTCTGGGGTTGCAGCTTGCTTTATTCACTGAGGGAGCTGGCGTACAGCTTCCGGGTCATGTGGCCAGCATGTGGCGAACCAGAGTAGTGCACGGAAATGTCGTTTACCTTCCCGCTGGAGCGGTATCTATTTATCTACTTGCACTTTGATGTGCTTTTGAACTGCTAGGTTGGCAGGAGCAGGGACCAAGCAATGGGAGTTCAACCCGTCGCGGGGATTCGAACCGCCGACCTTTTGATTGGCAAGTCCTGGGCCCTGTGGTTTAACCCACAGCACCACCCGCGTCCACAGGTCAATATGGCCATGGGCACCATCTTTCCTGCTGAAACGCAGCATTGGGAAGGAGAGATTTTAAGCCAGGCATGTCCAGGCGGTTCCTTCTCTGGGTTAACAACAACAAAGGTTAACAACTTTGGTGTAAAATCCTTAAAAAAAAGTTCAACAACTTCAATCCTAAAAAAAAGCTCAACACCTTTGGTCGGCCCTCATGCATGTTCACTTCATCAAATCTGGCCCTCTTTGAAAAAAGTTTGGGCACTCCTGTTTTAAGCTGAGCGGTGAGAGATCTTGCAAATTTTTTACCCTTCGATTGCACTCCATGGAGCAAACTGAAGAGAAGATGTTTTAGGATGAAACTGTGAAGCTGTATTTTGTTGGAAGCCATCCAGAGTGGCTGGTGTAATTTATTTATTTATTTATTATCTGGAAAAGTCCACGGTTACAGTGGAGTGTTAAAAATTCACCCCACCCAGAGTTCTTCTGTCCCTGCTGTTGGTCTGCACAAAACAGCACCTTCATGGCATAAGTGGCAAGAAGTCACCAAGAGGAAGACAATACTTGAGTTCTAGGTGTACCAAGGGAGACCCACCACCCCTACTTGTTGTCATAGCGCGACAGCTACTGTTTAAGAGGACTCTGGTGGTGGCCATGGGCTTCCAACCTTAATCCTACTGCTCAGTCCTACTGCTTTGATCTTTCCAACATGTCTTTCTGTGCCTGGCTGAGGATGGCAGTCTGGTCCACAACTTTGTAGGGGAGCGGGTGGTGCTGTGGTGTCAACCACTGAGTCTCTTGGGCTTGCTGATCGGAAGGTTGGCAGTTCAAATCTGCGCAATGGGGTGAGCTCCCGTTGCTCCGTCCCAGCTTCTGCCTACCTAGAAGTTTGAAACCACACCAGCGCAAGTAGATAAATAGGTACTACTGTGGCAGGAAGGTAAATGGTGTTTCCATGCACTCTGGCCTCTATCATGGTGTCCCATTGTGCCAGAAGCTACTGTTAGCTCCATCATGAGACGTCCGCCAGCTTCCAACCACGGATACCAGCAGCCTTCAAACAAGCAAACTTGCCTTATTATCACTCCCTAGCATCCCACTGCCAGAGGATTGCCTCCTTCCATTCACCAGTTTGCCTCCTCCAAGTGGAAGAAACCTGGGCAGTGCTGAATGTCACATCCATTGCCAGGTGTGTCCTGTTGGAAATAAAAAAGGGCTTTCCCCTTAGCCTGCCTTTATATCCACTCAGTTGCCAAGTGTTTTTGTGACATCACAAGAAACCCACAGCCAGTGGCAACAGCTGGGGAGGCATCATCTTTGAGCCTCACAATGGCAGGTGGACCTATCAGTGACTATGTGCTTGTTTATTTGGGATGCGGGTGGCGCTGTGGTCTAAATTCCTCTTGGGCTTGCCGATCAGAAGGTTGGTGGTTCGAATCCCCGCAAATGGTGAGCTCCTGTTGCTCTGTCCCAGCTCCTGCCAACCTAGCAGTTCAAAAGCACACCAGGGCAACTAGATAAATAGGTACTGCTGTGGTGGGAAGGTAAATGGTGTTTCTGTGTGCTCTGGTTTCCATCACGGTGTCCCATTGTGCCAGAAATGGCCACATGACCTAAAAAGCTGCCTGCAGTTAAACGCTGGCTCCCTCGGCCTGAAGTGAAAGGAGCACCACAACTCCATAGTCGTCTTTGAGTGGACTTAACCATCCAGGGGTCCTTTACCTTTTTAATATATACCACAGCTCTGTTTACTCCTGCTGCAAATCGCAATCCACACATGTTCAGTCAGTGCTTGAATTACAGGTGGGTAGCATAGGGGATCTGTTCCCATTTCCTTTGGTGATGGTCATCCATAGCTACAATTTTTAGAAGACTGGGGAACAACATGTTTCTGTTATACCTGTGGAGGAGTCAGAGATGAGACTTGTGGGTTTCATTAAGAGTTCAGCTATCTCCTGCCTCCTGGATTTTGGGAGCTACTATGTGAAAGACATCCAGGAAGAGAGAGCCTCCTACCCTCTGGATGTAACCAAATGAGAAAGTTGTGATGAGCTGATTCATAGTAGACCAGTAATGGATGAACTGAGAATTTCCAGAACTGCTTAGCTAGCACATCATGAACCACAACTCCTGGCACCAGGTCAGTTCAGAGCTGTAACATTTTCTGTCAGGGTATCAACGCAAGTCCCAGCATGATTCTAGATTTTTCTCAGGCACATCAAAATAGGCCTAAGGTTTTTTTTCTGTTTGCCTCTCTCTCTATGTCTATAGCCTTGCTAAGTAGCTTGTCTGAACATACAAATGGGTTCCCTGTTCCTAAAAAATTATTTTGTTTAAAGGCAATTTCTTTCTGTGGTTAAATTTCCGTCCACCCCATCTGCTTTTCATTAACAAGCTTGTAGCCTAAAGGCAAGATTACCTCATTCCAACTGGGATAAAGTAAGTCAGGATCTTTCCTGGGATAAAAGCACAGGCTTATTAAATATAGTAACCCCCCTCCCCTCCCAATACTTAGGTTATAAAAATGTGTTTGGATATTTAGCTGAAGGGTGCAATCTACCGATAATTCTCAACAGTGCTGGAATGAGAGGCAGTGTTGAACTATTGAATTCATTGTCATAGGATGTAGGAATGGCCGTCCACTTGAATGTGCTGAAATTTTTCTCCATCTCTGATAAAACTGGAATGGGTGAACTCATGAAGCTGAAGTGTGGGAGATTCGAGACAGAGAAGAGGAAACCTTCCTTTGCACAGGTGCAGCACATATTAAAACTTTGAAATTCACTTCCACGAGATGTGGTGATGCCCATTAATGTAGGCGAGATTCACATGGCAATTTATTCCATTTCCCTAACTGTTAATTTGAGCTTTCACTGTTAATAGTTGAGCTTTCACACAACATAGAAGCCTCTTCCAGAGGGCAATCTCAGCATTCATTTCTGTGTTGTTTGCAAGTAGGTTTTTTCTTCCTGGAAGCAAATAACACAGAAATGAGTGTCATATATCCCACCATATTTCTGAAAAGGACTTTAATGTTGTGGGAAAGTTCAAGTACAGTGGTACGTCTACTTACGGACATGATCCATTCCAGGGTGCCGTTCGCACCCCGAAAAGTCCGTAAGTAGAGTACCACTTCTGTGTGTGCACGTGACGCAATAGAGCATTCCTGCACATGCGCAAAACGCGCAGATCGCTCCTGCGCATGCGCGAAGTGGCGAACCTGGAAGTAAACACTTCCAGGTTTGCCGTGTTCGTAACATGAAAAAACACAACGTGAAGCAAACACAACTCAAGGTATGACTGTACAATGCAGACATTAATATATGGTAACCACATGTCCCCGTTTCCTGGGGACAGTCCCCAGATTTACAAATCTGTCCCCGGACAAAATCCATCCCCGGAATGTCCCCGGATTTCATTTAAAGTCCCCGGATTTATATTTTAAGTGTTGTAGATTTATTAGTAGGGAATGAATGTTGTGTGGTTGGTTCAACGGCTCAAGAAACATCATATGGGGACTTCCGGTGAGGCAAAATGGCAGGCGCCACGGCAGTGAGCAGCTCCTGAAGCTACTAGGCTGAGGCTGCTGCTGCCACTACTGAAGGGGAACCGTGGACACCCGGCACGTCAACCGGGGGAGCCAGTGCCCCCCCCGCGACCCAAATCGAGCAGGGAGCGAGAGCGCCCGGCCAACTGCCCAGCGGCACTCCGGGGCCAGGAAAACCCTGGAGCCAACACAAAAGGAAAGGGGAAAAGGAGAAGGAGGAGAGAGAAAGAAGGAGAAAAAAGAAAGAAGTTCCAACTTTGCCGCGCCGCCACCACTGCCGCTGAGGAGAGATAGGAGAGCACCGGGAGGGCAAGGAAACATGACTGAGCCCAGGCCCGACCCGAGCCTACTCCACTGTGGCTAGCGCTCTAAGAGAGCAGGCTGGGGCCCAGAGGAAGGCCACGTGACAGAGGAGACCACAGAAGAGAAGATATTACTTCTTATTTTTTAAAAATAATTTTTTTTCTCTTTTCAAAAAATAAATAAATTTGAGAGAGAGAGAGAGAGAGAGAGAGAGAGAGAGAGAGAGAGAAGTGTCCCCGGATTCATTGGAAAAAAATCTGGTAACCTACATTAACAGTTAGGGGAATGTGAGGAAAATGGAACAAATTGCTGTGTGAATGCAGCCTTAGCTTCAAAACTGGACTAGACAAATCAATTGAGGTACTAAGGGCTAACAGTCACACAGGCTAAATCCTACTTCCAGGACCAGACAGATCATGCCTCTGAATGCCAGTCAGTGGAAGGAGCATAGCACAGGGATGGTCAGGGTGTGTTTGGCCCTGGGTGCAGATTTATGAAAGGGTGGGCACAAACAGGCACCCCCACGACAGACTCCCTCACTCACCAAGCCATGCCCGGGCTGGGCCTTCAGGGCTGGGGTGATGGCAGCACCTCCTTTTCCTCATGTAGGTGAAGGGATGCCCACATGCGCCCCACCCCTGGGCTGGCTGAGAGGGAGGGGAGGAGGGTGCCTCTGCTGCCACTCACTGAGGAGAGGCAAGAGGCTCTGGCAGCCACCTCCTCCTCTGCAAAAAGGGTGCCACAGCCCTCAGGTCTGCCCTCCTCATTTGGCATTTGAGCCGCTTTCTCCCTCCCCTCGCTTTGCCCCACTCGGCGCTGGCTCAGACTGCTGCGGCTCAGTCGGCAGTGAGTGCTTGGGATGGTGTGGCCAGCTTCCTGTCAAGGACTGGGTAGAGGAGGAATGGTGGAGACCACCTCCCTATCCTGACACTTCCTGGGAAGAGGAAGAGGAAGACAGTTTAGATTTACAACAGAGATTTGAGGGAGGTCACAGCTCAGAGGCAGATGAGGCGAAAAGTTGGGAAATAATGGGAGAAGACGAGGCAGAACCAGACAGGCAGCTGGCTGACACGGTGTCTTTAGAAAACATCCCTGACCCTCCATCTCCTGGAACCCAGCATGCCTTAAAAGTAGGAGAGCAAAACCCAATGGAGAGAGATTTCACTTTTTTCTCAAATTCAAATCAATCTTTCTCGTGACTCGACTACATATGGGTATCCAGAGATTTGGTTCCTAAGGTTACTAAAACAGAAATTTGCCCTAAGACTTGCTCAGATCATAATGCAGTGGTTTTGGAGATGAAATTATACCTACAGGGTTCCTTTAGATGGAGGATGAATGATGAGTTGTTGAGGAATGAACAGATGATTAGTAAGGCCCAAAAGACTCTAAAAGACTATTTTGAACTAAATATGAACACAGAGGTTGAAACAAGAGTCATTTGGGATGCAAGTAAGGCAGTAATGAGAGGTTTCCTCATACAACAGAACTCAATAAGGAAAAAGATACAGAATGAGAAAAAAGAGAAAATTCTGTCTCAAATAAAAGACAAAGAGAAAAGTTTAAGATTAATGCCAAAGAGTCAACAGATTCCAAAAGAAATTAAAGCATTGCAGATTCAATTTTCTCAAATTATTAACCAGGAAATAGAGTGGAAAATTAAAATGATGAAACAGAGAAATTTTGAATCTGCAAATAAATGTGGGAAATTGTTGGCTTGGCAATTAAAAAAGAGACAGAAGCAAAGTACTATTACAAACACTGTATCTGATGGAAAATCTATGGAAAACCCTGCAGATATAAGAAAATGTTTTCAGAAATACTTTAAACAGCTGTATAAAAAAGGTAAAGAAGATAAGGATAAAATTGAGCAATTTCTTGTGGCGAATGAAATGCAGAAAATTCCCGAGGATAAAAGGTTCCTACTAAATGGCATGATTACGAGGCAGGAGGTTGAGATGGCAATAAATAAGATGCAGTTAGGCAAAGCCCCGGGACCGGATGGTCTTTCTGCAAAATATTATAAAATATTGAAAGATTGGCTAATTCAACCGTTGGCAGATGTGTGTAATAAGATTCTAAGAGAGGACAAAGCTCCCGAAACCTGGAAAGATGCATTTATCACTCTGATTCCAAAAACAGATCAAGATAGATCCGATGTAAAAAATTATAGACCAATCTCATTACTTAATGTGGACTATAAAATCTTCGCAAACATTTTGGCCAATACATTAAAAAAGGTTCTATCAAATTATATACATAAGGAGCAGGCTGGATTTCTGCCTGGGAGACATATGAAAGATAACATAAGAAATATAATTGATATAATAGAAAGGTTGGAAGCGAAAAGAAATTGTAAAGCAATGTTAATGTTTATTGATGCTGAAAAGGCCTTTGATAATGTTTCTTGGTTATTTATGATGAAAAATCTAGAAAGAATTGAGGTTGGCCAGGAATTTTTAAATGGTATTAATGCGATCTATTTTGAACAAAAAGCAAAAATCATAGTTAATAATGTGGTCTCAGAGGAAATCAGAATTGAGAAAGGAACCAGGCAAGGGTGCCCGCTTTCCCCTCTGCTATTTATTTCTGTTCTGGAGGTTTTGCTAAACATGTTGAGGAAAGAGGAGGAGGTTAAAGGCATTGTAGTAGGATCCAAGCAATATAAATTAAAAGCCTTTGCTGATGATTTGGTTTTAACTTTACAAGATCCAGAAACCAGTGCAGTGAAAGCACTGGAGCTGATTCAAGAGTTTGGGCAGGTAGCAGGATTTAAATTAAACAAGAGCAAAACCAAAGTTTTAGAAAAAAACTTAGATAATGAGGAAAGAAAAAACCTTTTTGAAAAAACCTTGTTTCGGTGAAAAAAGTTAAATAGTTGGGTGTGAATTTATCGGTAAAGAACTTGAATCTTTACAAAGATAACTATGAAAAATTATGGAATGAAATCAAGAGAGATCTTGAGGTATGGTCAAATCTAAAACTCTCATTGATGGGCCGAATATCGGTGGTTAAGATGAATGTATTGCCGAAGATGTTGTTCTTATTTCAAGTTTTACCAATCATTGATAATGTCAAATGTTTTAAAGAATGGCAGAAGGTATTGTCTAAATTTATCTGGCAGGGGAAAAAAACCTAGAATTAAATATAAATTACTTACAGATATAAAAGAAAGAGGGGCTTTTCCTGCCAGATTTGAAGATATACTTTGAAGCTGCTGCATTCTGCTGGATCAAGGATTGGATTCAATTAGAGAATGATGATGTGTTAGACTTGGAGGGACTGGATAATCGATTTGGATGGCATGCATATCTATGGTATGACAAGGTAAAGGCCCACAGGGGTTTTAAGAATCATGTAATTAGAAAGGCATTATACAATGTATGGACTAGATACAAAGATCTCTTAGTAAGAAAAACACCAAAATGGATTTCACCAATGGAAGCACAGGCCCCAAAAAAGTTAAATATGGAAAACAAATGGTTGAGGTATTCAGATTTGTTGTTAGAGAATCAGGAAGGTTTTAAATTAAAACCATTTGAACAAATTAAAGATAAAGTGAATTGGTTGCAATATTATCAAATTAACGAATTATATAAGATGGATAAGAGAAATGGTTTTGCAACAGAAAAAACCAAATTGGAAACGGAGTTGTTAGATACTAATGATAAGAATATGTCTAAAATGTACAGTTTGTTGTTGGAGTGGCATACAAAGGATGAACAAGTTAAATCGGTCATGATTGATTGGGCAAGGGATGTGGGACATAATATAATGATGGAGGATTGGGAGAGGCTATGGAGGAAAGGGGTTAAGTTCACTGCATGTACGATGTTAAAGGAAAATATTATGAAGATGATGTATAGATGGTACTTGACCCCTGTGAAATTAGCAAAGATTTATCCCAAAAGTGATAATCTTTGTTGGAAATGTAAAGAAAAAGAAGGTACTTTTTTCCATATGTGGTGGACTTGTCCCAAGGTGAAAGACTTCTGGGAGAAGATTTATAATGAACTGAAAAAATGTTGAAATATACATTTATTAAGAAACCAGAGGCCTTTCTCCTTGGAATAACAGGTTTAGAATTGCCCAAGAACGATGTTAAATTATTTTTGTATGCCACAACGGCCGCTCGAATATTACTTGCTAAAAATTGGAAAATACAAGAACTACCAACAGTGGAAGATTGGCAGATGAAGATGATGGACTTTTCGGAGCTAGCTGACCTGACTGGAAGAATCCACGACCAGAAAGAAGAGGAGTTTCAAGAGGACTGGAAGAAATTCAAGGACTATTTGAACAAATATTGTAATATAAAAAATTAGAAATTACTTGAAAGAAACAAATAGGCCTAGGACAAATTAAGTTATAATTAAATAAATGGGAATCAGAATGTCAAGAAAAGTGAATAAGATGACTATAATTGGAAATTGTTTTAGTTTAATAATGATATTGGAAAGCTGTTACTTTTAAATTACAAGGAAACTCAGAAGGGAGGGATTTGAGGAAGTCAATCAAGATGTTAAAAAAGTTGGATTTGTGAAGAATTAAGTTTGTTATTATTGTCTATTTGTTTATTGTTCCCCCTTTTCCCCCTCCCTTTTTTTCTTTTTTTTCTCTCTCTCTCTCTCTTCTCTTTTTCCTTTTCTGTTTTTGTGTATTAATCTGCTTTGTGGTTTGTGTTATAATGGTGGAAAAATCTAATAAAAATTTATTTAAAAGATAAAAGTAGGAGAGCAAAGAGCTCAAAGACAGAGGGCACATAGCAACACTCACAGAAGTGACAAATAAAGAAGTGGGAGAGAACGGGGATTGGAAATTCACTCGGGACAACACCAGTATCCAAGAGGCTGGGTTCTATAGCCTCTCTCTGTAAATATTGAAATAGTAAAGGACGGTAAGAAGTTTTTCCTCGTCTTTATACTTCCTGGGCAACCAGCCGAGAGCCGATGATAGCATCCTGGCACCTCCACACCCCATCCCCACCCCCCGGCCCGTGTGGATGTGCCCCAGGCACCAACAATCCACGTTACGCCACTGGTCAGTGGGGAATAACAGTGGAAGAGGGCTATTGCCTTCCTGTCCTATATCTGGGTTTCCCAAAGGTATCTGGTTGG